AAGAATTAAGAGGAGTGAATTGGAAGGGAGTAAGATTCCACAAAAATTTGAAAAGGTTGAGATCCAAAATTAAGGAGTGGAATAGGGAACACTTTGGAAGGATAGAGGAGCAAAAAATTGACTTGATGTMCARGATTGAGGAACTTGATTCCAAGGAAGCTCAAAGGATGATGAGTGAGCAAGAACGGGTTTTGAGAGGAAACCTAAAGAATGACCTAGAAGAGGACCTTTTGAGAGAGGAAATCTCGTGGAGGCAAAAGTCGCGACATAAATGCATTAAGGAAGGGGATGGAAATACTAAATTTTTCCATGCATTGACTAATGGAAGGAGAAGAAAAAATTTTGTGGCTAAGTTAGAGGTGAATGGGGAGGAACTCACAAATCAAGATGAGATAGTCAGATGTTTTGTGGATCATTTCAAATCAATCTATAGGAAACCGTTGAATAATAGGCCAACCTTGGAAGACTTGGAGTGGACTAGATTGTCTGAAGAACAAGCAAACTGGTTAGAAAGGAACTTTAGTGAAGAAGAGATCAGACAGGCAGTGTTTTCAATGGATAGATCCAAAGCACCTGGTCCAGATGGCTTTACAATGGCTTTCTATCAGGATTGTTGGGATGTGGTCAAAGAAGACCTTGTAGGGGTGTTTCAGGAATTTGCAAATAAAAAAACAGTGAGCCCTGGAGTCAATGCTACTTTCCTAGCCCTAATCCTAAAGAAGGCAGATGCAAAGAACCCTAAGGACTATAAGCCAATCAGTCTAGTGACAAGCATCTATAAAATCCTGGCTAAAGTGTTGTCATTGGGAATCCGAGTAGTACTACCCTCCATCATCAGTCAAGAACAAGGTGCTTTCGTGTAGGGAAGGCAAATAACGGATCAGATCCTAATAGAAAATGAGTGCGTGGAGGACATGTGAAAGTCAGGAACCCAAGGTTTCGTTTGTCTTGACAGTATGGCCGGCCAGAAATAGGAGGAAGAGAAGAAGAAGAGAGAAGGGAGAAGAGAAGAGAAGGGATTTTGCCATGTAACAGTGCTGGCGGCGCCAGCTTTATTATAATATATATATAAGGCGGCAGAAATAAGAAGGGAAAAGACCCTTGTGCCCCTGCTATAAGTGAGTACAATAACAGACATAACAGAAGTGAAAAAATAGAAATAGAAAACACTTTAACTAGACAAACAAACCCTAACACCAACAACTAAATTATTTCAACACTCCCCCTCAAGTTGGAGCGTAGATGTCAATCATGCCCAACTTGTCACACAAATCTTTGTGCCGCACATGATGAAGACCTTTGGTGAAGCATAGATGTCAATCATGCCCAACTTGTCACACAAATCTTTGTGCCGCACATGATGAAGACCTTTGGTGAAGATATCTACAAGTTGTTCTTCTGAGCTGACATATGTTGTACACACTTCTTCGTTTTCAAGTTTCTCTCTAATAAAAT